GAAAGCTCACAGTGATCTTACAAGTTGAGTTCTAGACAGTTCCATTTGAATAATTTATCTTTCCTGCTGGAATAAATGAACACTGAAAGATTGGTAAGCCTAAAACAAATATGCTGATTTCATTAGGTCAAGGAGCCGCTATTACGATGTATAATGATTTTGGTAAGAGTACCCATGTAAAGAGGTGACAGGTCCTCTTTGCAAATACATGTCTGCAGTTTAACAATCATGCAAAACCATATCCTAGTCCATGGTTGGTGCTAAGGTGGAGCCTAGTCTAAAGGGTTGGCATGAGTGACACTAAGGTCATAGGCATTCTGAAAATTAAAGTGTACATAGATAGATATACCATATTTTTTCACTCCATAACAGGGGTGGACTGACCATTTGGAAACCCTGGCACTGCCCAAGGGCCCAGAGTCAGTAGGGGGCCCCTTGAGATACCCCTGGTACCTTTTTCATAGGCTTTTTTGAGTTTGAACAAGGACACAGGGGCCCCATGATCCCCTATTGCCCGGGGGCCCCATGAGTTGTCAGTCCGCCCCTGCTCCATAAGACGCACCTAGGTTTTAGAGGAGGAAAACAAGAAAAAAAATATTTTGAACCAATGGATTGCAGACATAGTACAGGAAATGACCAGAGACTGCGGATGTACTACAGGAGATGTCCAGAGATTGCGGACATAATACAGGAGATAACCAGAGACTGCGGACATTGTACAGGAGATGACCAGAGACTGCGGACATAGTACAGGAGATGACCAGAGACTGCGAACATACTACAGGAGATGACCAGAGACTGCAGACATAGTACAGGAGATGACCAGAGACTGCGGACACAGTACAGGAGATGACCAGAGACTGCAGACATACTACAGGAGATGACCAGAGACTGCGGACATAGTACAGGAGATGACCAGAGACTGCGGACACAGTACAGGAGATGACCAGAGACTGCAGACATACTACAGGAGATGACCAGAGACTGCAGACATAGTACAGGAGATGACCAGAGACTGCGGACACAGTACAGGAGATGACCAGAGACTGCGACAACACAGTACAGGAGATGACCAGAGACTGCGGACATAGTACAGGAGATGACCAGAGACTGCGGACATAGTACAGGAGATGACCAGAGACTGCGGACACAGTACAGGAGATGACCAGAGACTGAGGACATAGTACAGGAGATGACCAGAGACTGCAGACATAATACAGGAGATGACCAGAGACTGCGGACATAGCACAGGAGATGACCAGAGACTGCAGACATAATACAGGAGATGACCAGAGACTGAGGACATAGTACAGGATCTGAGCAGAGACTGCGAGACATAGTACAGGAGATGACCAGAAACTGCGGACATAGTACAGGAGATGACCAGGGACTGCGAACATAGTACAGGAGATGACCAGAGACTGCAGACATAGTACAGGAGATGACCAGAGACTGCGGATGTACTACAGGAGATAACCAGAGATTGCAGACATACTACAGGAGATGACCAGAGACTGCGAACATAGTACAGGAGATGACCAGAGACTGCGGATATAGTACAGGAGATGACCAGAGACTGCAGACATAGTAAAGGAGATGACCAGAGACTGCGGACAGTACAGGAGATGACCAGAGACTGAGGACATAGTACAGGATCTGAGCAGAGACTGCGAACATAGTACAGGAGATAACCAGAGACTGTGGACACAGTACAGGAGATGACCAGAGACTGCGAACATAGTACAGGAGAGTCCTGACCAGAGACTGCAGACATATACAGGAGATGACCAGAGACTGCAGACATAGTACAGGAGATGACCAGAGACTGCGGACAGTACAGGGAGATGACAGGAGTGACTGCAGACATAGTACAGGAGATAACAGAGACTGTGGACATAGTACAGGAGATAACCAGAGACTGCGGACATAGTACAGGATCTGATGACCAGAGACTGTGAACATAGTACAGGAGATTAACCAGAGACTGCGGACATAGTACAGGGGATGACCAGAGAGACTGCGGATATAGTACAGGAGATGACCAGAGACTGCGGACATAGTACAGGAAATGACCAGAGACTGCGGACATAGTACAGGAGATGACCAGAGACTGCGGACATAGTACAGGAGATGACCAGAGACTGCGAACATAGTACAGGAAATGACCAGAGACTGCGGACATAGTACAGGAGATGACCAGAGACTGCGGACATAGTACAGAAGATAACCAAAGACTGCGAACATACTACAGGAGATGACCAGAGACTGCGAACATAGTACAGGAGATGACCAGAGACTGCGGACATAGTACAGGGGATGACCAGAGACTGCGGATATAGTACAGGAGATGACCAGAGACTGCGGATATAGTACAGGAAATTACCAGAGACTGCGGACATAGTACAGGGGATGACCCGAGAGTGCGGATATAGTACAGGAGATGACCAGAGACTGCGGACATAGTACAGGAGATGACCAGAGACTGCGGACATAGTACAGAGATAACCAGAGACTGCTAACATAGTACAGGAGATGACCAGAGACTGCAGACATAGTACAGGAGATGACCAGAGACTGCGGATATAGTACAGGAATGACCAGAGACTGCTGAAACATAGTACAGGAGAGACTGATGACCAGAGACTGCAGACATAGCACAGGAGAAGGCCAGAGACTGCAGACATAGCACAGGAGATGACCAGAGACTGCAGACACAGTACAGGAGATGACCAGAGACTGCGGACACAGTACAGGAGATGACCAGAGACTGCAGACACAGTACAGGAGATGACCAGAGACTGCGGACATAGTACAGGAGATGACCAGAGACTGCGAACATAGTACAGGAGATGACCAGAGACTGCAGACACAGTACAGAAGATGACCAGAGACTGTGAACATAGTACAGGAGATAACCAGAGACTGCGGACATAGTACAGGAGATGACCAGAGACTGCAGACACAGTACAGGAGATGACCAGAGACTGCGGACATAGTACAGGAGATGACCAGAGACTGCGAACATAGTACAGGAGATGACCAGAGACTGCAGACACAGTACAGAAGATGACCAGAGACTGTGAACATAGTACAGGAGATAACCAGAGACTGCAGACATAGTACAGGAGATGACCAGAGACTGTGGACACAGTACAGGAGATGACCAGAGACTGCGGACATAGTACAGGAGATGACCAGAGACTGCGGACATAGTACAGGAGATGACAGAGATGCGGACATAGTACAGGAGATGACCAGAGACTGCGGACATTAGTATCCGGTATCACCAGAAATGTGTGGAACACAGGCGTAGTCAGGGCTGGAGAGGTGGAATGGTCAGGCAGGCCATTAGGTACTGTACAGGGCGCGGGGCTAAGTCCCAATCTGCTTATTCACCAGGGCCCCTGATGGTGGGGATGGACTTGGAGCAGAATGAGACCAGGTCGCGACCCCTGAGTACGTCCGGCAATGGTAAAGAGCGTCGTCAGAGGTGTGCGGGGAAAGGAGCCTGATGTGAAGAGGCTGGCAGAACTGGGTTAACAGGGACAGATCCGTGCGGGATGGATGGATGGATCGTCTGGGTAGCATCAGGCGTAGTCAGGCAGGCCAGGTCAGCAACTCAACGTGCGGGCAGCGAGGTACTGGGAAGAGCAGGCAGAGAATAGTCAGGGTCACAAGCCGAGTTCAGTAACTCACGGGCAGCACGGTACAGAGGATCAGGCAGAAGGATGGTCAGGCAAGCAGGGGTTGAACAGGAGACGGTCAGCAGAGGTCAGGATCAAAGCAGGGTCAGCAACTAGGCAGATAGGCAGGAACACAGGATACCAAGTACAGGGGCTCATGGGAAACAATACACCAGGCACTGACTGCAGGTCTGGTCATTCCTTAAATACACCTCCTGCAATCAGCCCCAGGTGTTGGCTGACTGCAGGAGTGAGCTTCTGGTTGCTGAGAGCACCCGCTGGCCAGCCCTGGTACTGCAGCCCACACAGCAGGTGAGTCCCAACACCAGTGGTGAATCCATTCCTGACAGTAATACTTCTCTCAGAGATCACAGTACTCCTCATGACAATGCCTTTGTCTACTTTTCTCTCCAAAAGGTCTTTGACCAAACATCATCCAGGGTCACCATCTACTTCCTGGACAAAGACACTGGCTTAGAGATGATCAGTGGGGAGACTGAGAAATGCTTCTTCCTGTCTGCAGCAGACTATTGACATCTACACAGCCTAAAGAAAGTTACAGGACTGAACCTCAAGGAGCTCTTAAAATGAAAGAAGGTGGAGCTTTGCTGAAAATTCTACCATTGCTGTATTTATAGACAAGTAAGGAACGTATTCATAGAGACTTCTAAAGCAACTGTAAGGTCCACTTTAATATTTAAAGTCTAAAATGTTTTTTGGTAAACCCTGTTCTAATTACTTTTTCCAACACCATGGTATTATGTCTGGACATGTGTTAATTATTAGAGTTACTTGGTTTAAAGCTTGCACTGTCAAATCACCGATGTGGGTTAAGGCCCCAACCATTTAGAGATGGTTGTTCCAAACTGATATAGATCCTTGGCATGTAAATGGGAGTGCCTATTATGAAACGGTCATCTCGCTTGGAAGTTTGTTTAAAATATTAATTGAACAAGAACTTCATATACATCCAACTTGTTTTGGAGAAAGGACTCCGTCTTCTTCAGGGCTTGAACAATGATTATTGACCAAGACAGGATGGAATGTTCTAAAGAGGAATAATTTGACCTGGAATAGGGCTGAATGTCAGTGTAAACCGACTTCAGTGAGGGCACCCAATCTAGATGACCTCACTGATATCAGTTACCACAAATCTACCAGTTTGACACAGATGGCCTTTTTCATGCCACTTGTGAACCAGTTGCCTATCCAAAATGTGCACTTCACTGGCCTAGAAAAAAATGTAATTCCCTTAGAGTGAAAGAAAGCTGCTGAATCCGGACTAGGATGAGTTTAGGTTTGGTGGACTGACAACTCATGGGGCCCCTGGGCAATAGGGGATCATGGGGCCCATGTGTCCTTGCCCAAACTCAAAAAAGCCTATGAAAAAGGTACCAGGGGCATCTCATAGGGCCCCCTACTGACCCCGGGCCCTCGGGCAGTGCCCGGGTTCCCAAATGGTCAGTCTGCCCCTGGTGTGAACCCACATTCAGACTATTCTGGAAGGTAGCTGTCACTGGTGGACCAATCAGCTGTGGCTGAGTTAGTTCCCACTCTGCAGATGCACATACACAAAGGAGCAGGGCTGCTTGTGCCATCATTGATGGTCTATGTTCATCTGGCCATATTAGGTCAGATGGCAGAGTGCAGAATGGGCCAGCAACAGCTGATTTGGGTCAAACCAAACTCATGGTTATCACTACCCTTGGTAGACAAAGAAATCCAACTTGTTTTGGAGAAAGGTCTTCTTCCTCTTCTTCAGGGCTTGAACAATGATTATTGACCAAAACAGGATGGAATGTTCTAAAGAGGAATAATTTGACCTGGAATAGGGCTGAATGTCTGTGTAAACTGACTTCAGTGAGGGCACCCAATCTAGATGACCTCACTGATATCAGTTACCAAAAATCTACCAGTTTGACACAGATGGCCTTTTTCATGCCACTTGTGAACCAGATATCCTTGATTTGTAGGAAATGAATCTTTCTTCCAATGTAGTTTTTCCTCTTCATCTCACGCCTGGACTATTGCAACTCCCTTCTCACTGGCCTACCCAAACGAACGCTATCCCCACTCCAGTCGATCCTAAACTCAGCGGCTAGACTCATCCACCTCACCAACCGCTCCACATTTGCCTCCCCCCTCTGCCAATCCCTTCATTGGCTCCCGATTGCCCAATGCATCAAATTCAAACCGCTAACTCTGACCTACAAAGCCATTCACAATGCCGCCCCAAACGACATAACTGACCTGATACCCAAATACTACCCTACCAGTGCTCTCCGCTCCTCACAGGACCTCCTACTCTCTAGCTCCCTGGTCTCCTCCTCCCACGCCCGATTGCAGGACTTCTCTAGGACTTCCCCCATCCTCTGGAACTCCCTACCCAATCCATCAGACTGTTGTCTACCCTCCTCACCTTCAGGCGCACCCTGAAAACCCTCCTCTTCAGGGAAGCCTACCCCAACCTCACCTAACACCTGACCTCACCTAACAACTAACCTCCTCCACTCCTCCCACCACTCCATCCCCCACAGCCATTTCCTCCTGTACCACCTTCCCCTCCCTCCTAGATTGTAAGCTCCAAAGAGCAGGGTCCTTGAACCCCTTGTGTATTGTTTTGTTACTGTCTTGTCTCATGTTCTGTCCCCATTGCTACTGTACAGCGCTGAGCATACCCTTTGGCGCTATATAAATACTGTATAATAAATAATAATAATAAAAAAAAGGGTGTGGTTTCAGATAATTGGGCCACCACTGACAACTTCCTTCTGGGTTCAGCCAAACATGGCTTCAAACCAAACCCAAGCTCATCCCTAATCCTGAACTGTAGGCTCTGTTACGACTGCCTGAATGCCACCAGCCTTGAACACTCAGTTTTAATAGTCCAATTGTCCAACCCTTTGCTGTTGATTCTCAGTTGTCACCACTGGTAAAAACTGGGGCATCACACAATGAAACCCAAACCTGCAGATATCACTGGGCCAACCTCATATTCCATGCCTCAAGGGAGCACACTTCTATCACCTACAACATCAGTGGTTAATATGTGTGCCACACATTCAGATGAGATTTTCTATCATTTCTCTTGACAGAGAGACCTGGTCTTTTGTTCCAAGTATTGATGATGAACGAACTGGCTGCACATTTGCACTCAGTTATCTGTACTGTTCATTTGTTTCACAGTAATAACCCTGTATCCATAAGCCGCTTGAAAGATGATGTTTCCCCAAAGAAGAAATGCTTACATTTCATCATACACCCGGCTCCATCCATTCGCCTTTGTGTCTTGCGCTCTTCATTACAAAATAAATGAATGTTATTGTGTTCTCTCTGTTAGGCTGGCTATATTGCAAGATCTCTTTATTTCCTCCACACACAACTGTGCGGAGATTGGGTTAATGTAGCGGAATAATTGGGAAGATTTGTCAGGAGAGAGCTGCACCATATAGCAATTTTTGGCTTTCGGAAGAATAGAGAATCCTACAATTGCACAGGAAGAGAATGGAGCATATGCTGATTCAGTAATAAGCCTCTTTATAATTCGGTTTGATAAGTCTGTTACTGTTACTCATACTGTATTGTCTGGAACTTATCTGGAAATGCAGATTGTTTCTTTTATTAGGGTAATTTAGGGAGCTGCTTAAAGAAGTGCAGATTGCTCTACATAAAACAATTAGTTGTGTGTCATAGGAAGTGTAATGCTGAATGTGGTGGAGGGTCCAGCTGGAGATCCTCTTTAAAACAGAACTTCAGCCAAAACAAAAGGGATGATTTACTAAAACTGAAGAGTGCAAAATCTGGTGCAGCTGTGGTAGCCAATCAGGTTCTAACTTCAGCTTCTTCAATTAAAAAATTTGACATAAAACTGGAAGCTTATTAGTTTCTATGCAAGGCTGCACCAGATTTTGCACCCTCCAGTTTTAGTAAATCAAAACCCCATATTTTTTGGATTTTATGATGAAGCAGGAAAGGGTTGGAGCCAGGGGCGGACTGACCATTTGGAAACTCGGGCACTGCCCAAGGGTCCGGAGTCAGTACGGGACCCCATGAGATGCCCCTGGTACCTTTTTCATAGGCTTTTTTGAGTTTGGGCAAGGACACAGGGGCCCCATGATCCCCTATTGCCCGGGGGCCCCCATGAGTTGTCAGTCCGCCCCTGGTTGGAGCTTTGGTTTTGATTAAAGACAATCTCTCACCACCAGCTACCAAAACATTAAATTGCATATAAATCCAAAATATATTTTTCAGCATGTCCTGTGTTAGGCAGACTTCTTGTTTATCCCATCAGCCTGTGGGGTAATGGGTTTTTTTCAGACTCCTAGCTGCTCCCAATCAAGGTGGGTGGGGTGTATTCAGTCTTACCACACTTAGTGAGATTGATCCTCAGCACATGAAGTGCCTTATTTGAACCTCAACAGCCTGTGCTTGTAATGGTATCAGCTTCATGGTTTTCTTGTCTGGTTGTCGTGGAGTTCTCCTGTTGCCAACCAGTGCTGCCTGGACTTGTCCTTGAATAAGTCTGCTTTGGATTTGCCGCTTGGGACTTGACTCCAAATTGTTAACTACACAATGCTTTTTTGCCTACCAGCCGTGACCTCGAAGATACTTTGCAATTACACTTGCTTGCTACCAGCCCTGACATTGAACTATCCCTGGATTCCACTACCAGCCTCTGTCTACTGCCTGGCTCCCAGCCTTGACAAACTAAAGGTACCTTTTCTTTGTCTTAGTAGTTGTTCAGCATTTCCAGTGCTTTGTCTGGCCAGTAAAACTAGCATCATGTTCTAAGACCTGGGGGAAGTATCGGTAGGCTTGCTTACTTTAAGGGAAGGGAGTCTGCTTTAGGCAAAAGAAACACGACACCTACCTATAATCCAATGACCTAGGCATCTGGCTGTGTGTGACAGTTTGGTATTTATTCCCTCACTGTATATAGTGGTTTTTCCTAAACCTGGACTACAGGAATTAGCCAAAAAACCTACCTTTTTGCAATGGGGCCCCCTACCTTTAATTGCCAAAATCTACCTTTGCAATGGGGCCCCCTAACCTTTAATTCAACGCATTTCAGGGGCTGTAACCTTGAACCAGCTGCTGGCAGAATGCTGGTCAAATTCTCAAAAGTTTCAACATCCAACTATAGCCCTGATGAAGTGGAATTGGGAGGTACAGTCCAAAAATGCATTGGCTTTAAAAAACAATAAATCATTGGAATAAACTTGTATTTGGACTTGAACATTATAATGTGATGGTTCAATTCTAAATCCATTCGAATCACTAGACAATTAGCACAGAAGCTTTTTTTTTGTGGAGTCTATGTAAAACATCTAGTCAATTGCTACCAACTAAACCTGTTATTTTTCCATTAACTGTAACAGGCCAAGCTGTCCAGCAAAAAAAAAAAAATGAACTTAATGACTTACATTTCCTTACAGTTCCTAAAACTCCCAATCTTAGTCTCATTCATGTTAAATGATTAGAGCAGCTATCAATTCAACCAGAAGGGAGAAATTGAGTGCAGTTAGGAATTGAGTGCAGTAATTGGATGAATGCACAGATTGACCACCATCCAACAAAATTGGGGAGCTGGTGAGCACCCTATTAAAAATAGAGTTTTAGATAAAGACAGCAGAAAACTGGCAATAGGTTTTTATTTCAGATTTACGTATACTTACACCAATATAAAGACCTTGCACAAATTACAATTTTCAAAGCAAAAAAAGGAGCTATTTGTACAATGTTTAGTGTGTGGATTTAAAGGTCTAAAACTACACTCCCCTTCCAGTCTTATAGTCATCCTGTCCTGATCCAGCGAGACATCATTGACAAGTCCTCAAACTGGCTTGCCATAATCTTTATAAGCTGGGCCCATGAGGGGACATATGAGTATGACTTGTAGGGAAGTCTGAGGTTGGTGGGGCAATACAAGTATATGTGTAAATGCACCAAAGATAGACGAAAACATAGTAATCATACTTGGTAAGGTTGAATAAAGACACCAGTCCATCCAGTTATATGTCCTATGTGGGTGTGTGTGATCCTGTCAAAAAATCATATGACCATATCCCTGTAATTGTGCTTGCTAAGATACCCATCTAAGAGTTTTTTTAAACTATCAATTACTTCCCATGGTCCCCACCGATTGTGGAAGGGAGTACTACAGCCTTACCCAAAGCAAGTAACTTGCGTTCATATTTTTAGCCCCCAAGTGCATTACTTTACAGTTTTCAACAAGAAACCTCAATTTTCCATCTATAGCCCACCTCTTTATTTTATTAAGTACTTCGTGTAAAGTTTCTACATTCCAGCTATAAGTTGGAGCTATTTATACCAAAACTCTATATCATTTATGAATTAATTCCACTAAAA